TAAAAAAAAGTGAAACATATAAAATTGACAAATCAGATTTTAGAACAGAGGAAGAGAGATTAGTGTCTATGAGATAATGATATAAGAGGTGATAATTGGGGAAGCTATCTTTGTAATGGGGAAGGTAGCTAAGCATCTTTGTTAAGGCCCATTCGTAATGTGTCAAATTTAAGCATGAATGACAGTTCTGAGGTTTCCCTTTGTAGTCTGGTGTTAAAGTCTCTTTGAAATAATATACATGTAGTGATGTCGTTGAGACAATGCACAGGCATTGAAATGACAAGAAACTGTTTTTTGTTTGTGAAACTGTCTGATTTGTGGGCATTAAATCTTTGGCGAAATGTCTGAGAATTTTTTCCATATATACATAGCTGACGGACATTGTTCTCACATGATGGCATAAATTATATTTCTGGATGAACAGGAATATGTATTCTTGATCTTGTAACTGACATGGTTATGTCCAATAATGGTGTCAGCAGAGTAAATATGTGGACAAAGCTGGCAATGGGGTTTGTTGCAAGGGAAAGTTCCAGAGTTGGTATTAGTGTGGTATGTCCTGCGGTTGTTGGTAAGAATCATCCTGAGGTTAGGTGGTTGTCTATAGGAGACTATGGGTCTGTCTTCCAGAGCCTCTCGGAGTGTAGTATCCTGTTCCAGTATAAGCTGTAGTTTATTGATAATGCGTTTTGACGGGTTTAAGTTGGGGGCTATAGATAATGACAAGTGGTGTTCTATTGTTGGTTTTCCTGGGTCTGTCTTGAAGTAGATGGTTTCTGAATATTCGTCTGGCTCTTTCAGTTTGTTTTTTTTATTTCCCTGGGTGGGTAACTGAGGTTTATAAATGCTTGGTAGAGATCCTGAAGTTTCTGGTCTCTGTCACTGGGATTAGAGCAGATGCGGTTGTATCTAAGGGCTTGGCTATAGACGATAGATCATATGGTGTGTTCTGGATGGGAACTGGACGCATGTAGGTACCTGTATGAGTCAGTGGGTTTTCTGTAGAGAGTGGTATCTAATTTACCATTGGTGATTTGTACTGTGGTGTCCAGGAAATGGATCTCTCATGTTGAATGGTCCAGGCTGATATTGATAGTGGGGTGTAGGTTGTTAAAGTCTCTGTGGAATGCATCCAGTGTTTCTTGGCCATGGGTCCAGATCATAAAGATGTCATCAATGTAGCGTAAGTAGAGGAGGGATAAAAGGGGACGGGATCTGAGGAAACGTTGTTCTAAGTCTGCCATAAAGTTGTTAGCGTACTGTGGGGCCATGTGGGTACCCTCAGATCTCTCTCTCTCCCTTGCTAAATTCCCTGAAGTTGATGGAAGAGAGACCACTGAATAGGGAGAGAAGAGAGAGGCGAAAAAAGGCAGTGGATGAGTTTATGACCTTAAAATGTCCTTTAGGGAGGCAATTATGGCCCACATAACATATGCAACTCACATTTGATTTTAAAAAAAATATTAGAAGGCTTTAACAAATGTATGTTTTTCAGTAGAAAATCAAAGATGAAAACTGCAGTTAGTCCTACCTGCTCAAAGCTAGAGCCAGCATTCAGCCTAGGAGTGAACAACTGGGGCTCTTGCTAACAAATTGCTTTCCCTGTCTGCCTAAATCCTCCACGGAGAGATCAAGGCCTTCCCATCCTCCCATCTAAAAATGAATCAATATGATGGTTCATCCCTGGAAGATCAGAGTTCCAGCGAATTTCTAAACTGCCTTAAGGGAAAAAGCTGTCCAGATGTAGGACAGTGATCCACGTCTGCTCCCACAACAATGTGGCATCCTCCCCTGTACCTCTCCATTGCCCCAATGCATACAGGTTGACTGCCCGGGAATCGGAGCGCTCCCTCCATAAATCAGAGTTACAATTAGCAGCAGTGCAGGATTCTCTTCCCTGCTAGCGTGCCACAACCCTCACCTGAAGGGACCGTATCTAAGGGTGAGATGACAGCTCTGTTTTTATTCAGTGAATGGTTTCTTTGTTACTGTCAGCAACTATCCCAATAGCTGTGCTTTTTACAGTGTCTTCTCGTATCACTGAATGGAACAACTCGAACCATGTAAGCCATCAAATAGTCTTCAGATAGTAAAGATTTCAGTCTTTACTGGTGGGGCCTAGCTTAAGTCCCAGCCAGGTTCTTCATGCTATTACCTGTCTCTTCTTTCAAGTAGTTTTTAGAACAGCCACCATTTGGTTTCTTTCTCTAATTATTTTTTCTTAGCAGCAGAAGCAGATGCAGGAAAGATTGCCCAACTTTTAGCTCTGAGGCTGTGTCCAGACTCAGGGTTTTTTTCGAAAAAAGTAGTCTTTTTTCGAAAAAACTTCACCTGTGTCTAGACTGCAGCCGCATTCTTTCGAAATTAAATCAAAAGAATGCGGCTTTTCTTTCGACGGCGGTAAACCTAATTTCACGAGGAAGAACGCCTTTTTTCGAAAGTGCTCTTTCGAAAAAAGACGTTCTTGAATGCAAATAGGGGTTTTTCGAAAGAGAGCATCCATACTGCCTGGGTGCTCTCTTTCGAAAAAGCGGCTTGCTTTTTCGAAAGTTCCACTTGCAGTCTAGATGCTCTTTTTTGAAAGAGGCTTTTTTGAAAGTATCTTTCGAAAAAGCCTCTTTCGAAAGAGGCTTGCAGTCTAGACATAGCCTGAGTGTGTTGCAACTCTCTGAAAAGATTGCCCAGTGTGTTAGTCTTCCATTTCTCCTCTGGAAAAAGAGAAATATGCAAGACTATTTTGGAGACCTGTTTTTAAAAGGGATAATTTGTGGTGTGAATAGAAAACCCAATCCATCTTTGAAACACTGAACAAAATTCACTAGGATATGACAGAACCTGAGTCTGTATTTATAGCTTTTGGCTGAGAGAAGTGTGAAAAAGGCTAGGATTAAATAGAACTGTGGAGTGTTTTTCTGAGTGATGAAAAAAGTGCCAGTGTACTTATTCTTATGTTAGCCTTGAAAATCATTTCTGAATTCCTTTGAATAAACAGTCATAAATTTGCCAGCCTATGTATACTTCCTCTAGACGAAGATTGTGGCAGTCTCTTGATGCCAAGATTGTGTTTTCCAACTCTGAATTAAGAGCTTTGGACCAGACGCTCTCATGGGGTGCAGTGGCATGGAATTTAAGAGGTGTGGGATAAAATGTGATATGTCTTTCTATTACTAAAAAATATTGTGGCTTGAGTGTACCAGCAGTACAATATGTGCCTTTCAAGGCTCTGATAAATGATTAGGTGGATAGTTTAGCCTATTGTTGCCAGTAAGAGCACATATTCAAAAGAATTGTTCAGCTAACATATTAATGCCTTAATCTGGCCTGATAGCTTAATATGCTTTGACATTTCTTGCATATGTTTTCTATCAGTTTCAAATATTTCTTTTTATTCCACCATGTCATTATAAACAACTAACCAAAATAAAGAGGAGCAGGAGTTTATTCACCCATAAACTATATTTTAAAATGTTCTGTATTTTGTTTCAGTTCTTTGATTTAATAACGCAGTGATCCTGAAGTTAAGCGATTACTTCACTGTCTTGGTCTACAGAATTTTTTTTTTAGAAAATTTCCTTTTCAGAATTGTCTCGACTGTTAAAGAAACTATGGTTTCTAATTTTGGAACTATTGCTACAAAACACATAAGCGTGCATGCCTACACTTTGGTGCATGGGCACCATGAACTTGTATGCATGAATCAGGTGTTCCCACCTGTCCTACTTCTTTGTGTGCCTCACGAACAGGCTTTTCAAAATGTAGCTTTAGCTGATCTGATTCTGGCTTTGTGAGAGGAAGATGTGCGCACGAGCAGGGAGAAGTAACACACAGGTAGCAATTTTCAGGAGAAATGTTTCGATAACTAGAATGTTAATATTTTAGTGCTGATACTTTGTGTATATACTCCCCACCTTTGCATAATGGTTTATATTTAATAGCCAAAAATTAGTCACTTATGACCGTCAAAAGAATTCTGTTGGTCGGGTTTTGCCTTCAGGCACAGTCCCGTATAAGCTGCTCACCTATATACTGCCCTGTGAGGAGCCCAGACTTTTTCCCCCTGTTCCCAAATTATTTCCAAGTGAGAGCAATCTGCTAGAGCAGTAGCAGATTACTTCCTTTTACCCCCACACTGCCTCAGCTCTACTGGCTGGAGAGTTTGGGGAGAGGGAGAGTGGAGTCAAACCTGTATCACTCCCCAACTTCTCACTAATACGTACAGGTGAGGGGGAACTGCCAGGCATGCAGCCCTTTCACTTCCATTCCATGCCTGGAACTGGGGCTAATGAGGCCAGGGTGTATCAACACATCAGGGTTAAGGCAAAATCTGGTTCTAAATCATTAGGTATGTTTGCCACATTTTATTAATAATTGGATGGTAGAGTTCCAAAGAAATGTCAGAGAAATGACGTCTTAGATCCTGTATGTTCACAGCATACAAACTTCCACACACAACATAAAGCGAAATGTCTTTTGATCCAAACTGCACCTGTAAAAGTGTGGGGTTAGCCCCACTACTACCATGGCCAGATGGTGGTGAGGTGGAAGTGCTTTGTCCGAACTGAATGAAGAAGGCTGGCACCTGGTTCTCTCCCACCCCCTCGCTCCCACCATTTTTCTTATGTGATCACTGAAAAAGAAAAGTTAACTAGTTCTGCCATTCGTTGTTTTGTATATTCTATGGCTGTTAGTTGTACATATCAGAGGGGTAGCCATGTTAGTCAGTTTCAAGGAGTCCTCTGGCCCACACACCCCATGTGTAAGATTTGTTGAACTTTCATGTCCTCATGGAATGCATCTGATAAAGCAGATTCCGGCCCACAAATGCTTATGCCCAAATATATGTGTTAGTGTTTAAGGTGCCACAGGACTCCTTGTTATTTTTATGTAATGCCTTGGAGAATAGAGAAATGTGCATAAGCACATATCAGAATGATAAAACAAACTGCAACACAAGGAGCATTCCACATCTAATGACATGTTTGTTTGTTTTCCGGTCTTAGGACAAAGAGGCCCAGAAAGATTTAGAAGCTTTACTTCTAACGCTGCAGCTGTGATGAAAACCACTTTAAACTCTTTTATGCCATAATGCTGCTGTAGAAGAACCATAGACACTAATCATTGGGGGTCTGATCCAACATTCATTGAAGCTAGTGGAAAGACTGCTCTTGATTTCAATCCTTTTTGGAAGAAGCCCTGAAAGCGGATGGCAATTAGGCTCTGAAAACGATGCATTCTGTCTGATTCTAGCTTTATTTTTAATTTTTGGATCTACAGCTTGTTTTAAATTACCACTGCTGGAAGTGTAGTCTCTTGGTATGACGTTCACTGCTGGCAGTGGGCACAGGCAAGAACGCCAGATGTGTTAACATTCTTGGAATGATTAATCAGCTAAACTGCCATGCCAGCCCAGGGCTGTATGGAGCAATTACTTTGTTTCTACATTAAATTATATTTCTACCAATTGATTGGTATACATGTATATGAAGGCATGTCAGAAACACATGCATGCTTGTTCCTCTGCCTTTACTCACAAGAAATGTATAATACTGATGAAGTTAAGGGAAAAGGGAAGGTCTTAAAAAGAGGTATTTTTACTTCAGCCTATTTTTATTTTAGATGGAAAAATTAAAACTTTATCAATCATGTTTTAAAGTTATATTTTATGTTATTTGAAAGGAAAATATTAAAAGCTGGACCAATGAAAGGAAACATTTTGATTAAATCTGTTAGAATTGTGATACATGAGCTCCACCAGAGGAGTCCTGGTAATTTGTCTTTGAATAATAGCCTGTTGCAGTATTGTTGGTCTTGCTTTGAGAGACCCTCTCCTTTCAGCTCTGTGTGTAACATTTGTTCATCTTTCATGTCCACATTCTGGCCAATGGGAGCAGCAAAAGGCCATGCCTGGGATACATGCCTGGGAGTGGTGTGGGCCACTAAAGCAAGGAAGTGCCTCCTGCCCCCTCATGCCCAGACCGTGACCCACCACCCTGCTTCTGCACTATCCCCTGCCGAGACCCCACACCTCCAGCCTGCTCCTGCACCCTTCCCTCTGGCCAGACACATATTCCCACACCTGCTCCTGCACACTTCCTTGTGCCTGCACTGACACCCTATCCCCAGCCCACACCTGTATCCTCCCCTCTGGCCAGAAACCTACCTTCACCCTGTTCCTGCACCCTCCCTTGCATCTGCACCCTCCCTCCCACTCAGACCTCGCACCCTCACCTGCTCCTATATGCCACCTCCCCCCCCCCATCTTTATTCCACTCACTGGCAGCACTGTCCCACACACTGACATCGGGTGTGTCTACACAGCAGGGCTTAACTCACAATAAGCTAAGCAAATTGAGCAATGTCAATTGCATAGCTTATTTCGAATTGAAATGAGGAGCACCTACACAGCACTTATTTTGAAATAGAGCACTCTTTCTCCGACTTCCCTTACTCCTCATACAATGATGGTTACAGGAGTCGGAGTAAGAAGTCCTCAAGCATGACAGTATTTTGACATTATTTTGAAATAACACTAGTTATTTCAAAATAATGCTGCTGTGTAGACGTACCCTTAGGGTGGGATTCTCAAAGGGACTTAGATTCCAAATTCCTATTCATCCACAGCCTAACTGAGTAGGAACCTAACGCTTTCTGGTGCCTACATTTTTGCATAAATGTTTGTGCTTTTACAGAAAAGTTCTGAAGACACCTGTGTTTCTGCCTCTGGGCATGTGTACTGCTAGCTCATTCTAGGCATCTATTTCCCACCTAAGCTCCAGAGTGATCCACAAACAAGACTGACATGTGGCTGGCTGAGTCACATTAGGTGTACTCAGAGGCTGCCTAACTCTACAAAACAGCTGAGCAAGGTTCTCTGTCAATTAGGCTGCGGTTAGAGCATTCTCCTGGGCTGAGAGAGACTGTTAGTTCAATCATACCCTCTCCTGGTGTGAGTGCCCTAATCTGTAGGCTGTGGAATATGCTAGTGTGGGCTCTCTCCTAATGAAGCTGCTCTGTTTGCATTAAATAATTATGTATTAATTGGGCCAGGTGCAGAATGACTTGGCTGAGAGGTGGTGGAGAGTTATTTCAATACCTTGTCCTTATCAAGAAGGCAGCAGAACTCAAACTAGGAGTCTCCCATAAAATGGGTGAGTTACACTAAGCTAAAGGCTAGAACATAACTCAGCCTCTTTTTTGAACCCCATTGAGCTCATCCACCACAGTAATCCTTGGATGCAGGTATCCACGTTTGTTTCAACCTGGACCTCTTTTTGTTCAGGAGACATTGAATTTTTATACCTGCAATAAATGAGAAGGGAAGTCTGTTTAGCGCACACTGTGCAACAAGCCTTGCAGTCAACACTGTCAAATTTGGGTTCCTCCTAACGTCATTCCCTAAGGCTTGAGCCCATATCTGAATCCTGTTGTGAACTGTGTGGCCTGAAGCACTAGAGATGGCTGCTCACTATTGACACCTGTTGGTGAAATAGGAGAAGAGCAGCTCAGAGCTGCTTGAAAGCTCAGGCTCTTGAAAGCTCTGGCAGGGAGCCCTGTTGGTATTTATTGGGGAAGAAGAGGGAATGACTGAATGGGCTAGGCACCATTTGCATTTCAATTGTGATAATTTGGGGACATTTTGGTGAATAAACAGTCACGTTCTGCCTTTGAGGGCTATAAAATGGTGCCTGTTGGGAAACTGAAGGACAACAGGAGTGCATTACCTGTGCCTGGAGTGAAGGGTACTCCTAACCTTTACTATAGTGAGGCACAGTAGGGTGGGGGAGCCTTAAATGAGAGAGAAAGGGTAAGAAGGGTTTCTAACTGCTGAGGGAGGTGTCCCTGGACAAGGATTTTGTTAAGGGTCCTGTGTCCTACAAATGCCTCTCTAAAGAAATGAGACAGTTACAAAGCAGTGGCTCATGCACAGCTGAAACTGTAGGTGGGTGTACTAGAGCTGAGATAATAGATGGTGTTGAGTTGCTTTAGGGGAGGCTGTAGTGAATAGCTCTCTGTTTGAGAGATTCTGGTGCTGGCTTTCCTATCCAGCAATCAAAGCTAACTCCACATCAGGTGATAGAGCCCTTGCAGCAACCTTGGCAGCCCGGAGCACCAGAACCTTTGGCTATCACAAACCCAGGACAACAAACAGTGAGTAAGGAAGCAGGGGAGGAGGGAAGTGGGTATGAACCACTCCTGAGTGCAAGAGGAGGGCCAAGGTTGGAGCTACTGTTCAAGCAGCCTGTGGGAGAGAGAGTCTTGCCAAACAGATCTTGTTCATGTATTAACTGCTGCCTTTCCCAAGTGCTTTTTCTTGTTCTCCTCCCTAATGCAGTTTTCTGTTTTAAACCCCTGCACTCAGTGCTTGTGGGTGGAGAAATGTTGCTTCTCAGGGCACCCAGGGCAGTTTGGAGTTTCCTAGATTTCTGGGTGTGTGTATGTGGGGGAGGGGATATGAAGCTGGAGGTGTTTGGGTTTTGCTGTTGACAACACTTGGAAGAAGGGATATGTGTAAGTGGATGACTTTTGTTTAAAGGGGTTAACAAAGAGAAAGACAGAAGCTGATGGTAGGGATGTTACCCACAGGCATGATAAGTCCTTGTGTCTTCAATGACATTCCCGGGGTGCACAAGAACCTACTTGTATTAAACCAGTTCCAACCCTAGAGCCTTAATTAATAAAATGAGCTGTTTCAGATATGGATTATTTGCTCTCTCTCTCTCTCTCTCTGTAGCACTTATGTATCTATGAATTACTAAGTGGGATAACAGAATGAAGGGTTTGAAAAAAAAAAGTTGAACCCCTTGATTTGTCTGATATTTATGCTGCTTATAATTAAACATGTTTAGCATTGTTATTGTTTTATTTAATTCTCATAATTCCGTTTACTCTGGTTAATGATAATCTTTACTAATAGGCCTTTATAAAAGTACTGTACCTATTGTGGGTCAGGTTCTCAACTGATTTAAATCAGTATAGCTCCTTCATATAGATCTGTTAACACTTGAGCTATGGCAATTTACACTGGGCAGGGGAGGGGATCTGGTCCACTGACCTCAGTAAAGCTAGGCTGATTTATACCACCTGATGATCTGGTTTGCCATTTTAAGTGAAAATTGCAATGTGAGATGCTGTGAAACAGATGATAAATCCATTGGAGCCCTAGTTTAAAAAAACCTGGAGGGTAAAAGAAACTTGCTGAATGAGGGCATGTTTCTTGTGATGAACAGTGTGCACTTGAACAAGAGCCTACAGGAAAGTTTTATGCTGTGTGTCAAGTACTGTTGGATAAAAACCAAGGGCCTGACTGATTTCATTGAAGCCAGTGTAACTCTGTTGGCTTTTGATTCATGCTGGTGTAAATCAGATTGATTCACGTCCTTAATCTCTGCTTTGCCTTTGAGTACTGAAATGAATGCATAATGTGAAAGAGGGCAACTGCGTTCATCATTAAATACCATGAAACGGGAGGAGGGGAAGGGCTTGTGATAAGTTTGACTTACGCGGTAGTTCATCTTGTGGTTATATAAAGGCCAAATAGTTTTTGCCTGTTTAGGGATTTAGGGTGGGTTCACAATGTGTAAAAGTGTTTTCCCAAGAGACAGGGAATGGCAGGGCATAATATAAGCCTGTGACGGACCGGGCCGTGTCTGGGCACAGTTGAGGGCGTCCGCTCAGGGTGAATTGCTCAAATCCGGGGCTCCTTATAGCCCCTGACTGGGGACCTCTCCAAACAGGCCACAAACCAGTCTCACAGAGCGCTTCAGCAGCCTGCCTGAAGCCTCACGAGCAAAACCCCTCCGACACCCCAGCAATATCCGTCCCCCAGATGGCCCCGGGCCTCATACACAGCTGGGGGGTCCTAACACCCAATCCCACCTACCCCGAACAAGTCCTGTCCGGTTCCAAGAAACCAGCCACAGATCCCTGGTCAATTTACCCTCTGGACCTTACCCACAAATCACGCTGGGCCAATCCTTTAGAATCTATATCTAAAGGTTTATTATTACAAGAAAGAAAAGCATGAGAGTAAGGTTATTAAAGTACAGTACGTTACATGCACCGAATCTCCCAGTCCTCGATGCAGGCTCTAGCAGAGATGTTGCAGCTGCTGGTTTAAAAGATCTTATTGCACATCCTACAATCAGGATGGGTTCACAGGTCTTCCGGGCTCTTCAATCCCTGCAGTGCTCCCTCTGGGATGAAGTGCTGAGCTGAGAACAAAATGGCATCGACCGCATGGCCTCTTTTATCCCCTTCCTGGCCTCTTCTTGTATGCAGCAAGTCACCTGGTCAGAGGCCGATCTTTATGTTCCCTGCTGGCTGCCCTCAGGTGACAAATCCCATTCTTTGGGTGTGTCCATAGCCTATTGAGAGTCATTGTTCCACAGGGCTTTGCTACTCAGCCTGTCCATAGCCATGCTTAACCACATTCACAGAAATATTCAGCTTCCACACAGATTACAGATTCCTACCTACACACATAGACATTATACACTCACATAAATAGCGTACATAAGATCAACAAACAATAATCTCCCATTCAATACCCCACATGGCTCCCCCCACACCAATTTCTGGGGCCAACACCCCCACCTAGGGGCGCAGCAGCGATCTGGCTGCTTCCCTCCAATTCAGCAACGTGACAAAGCCTCCCAAACTTTTTCTTTCTCAGGCCCCTCACTATGGTATAAAAGCTGCATGGCCCACCGGTGCCCCAATGGTTTTCTGAATACAAGTGCCAGTGCCTGGTTTAGGGGCTAGTACTCAGGGCAATTGCATAGGGCCCTGTGAAACTACATTAGTCAGGCTTTGGCTGGTGGTGGGTTTCAGGGCTCTGGATTTCAACCCCATGTGGCCGGGGCTTCAGCTTTCTGTCCTGAGCCCTAACAAGTCTAATGCTGGCCCTGGTTGATGGACCCCTTGAAACCTGCTTGTGGCTTTCCAGGGGGGCCCCTGTCCCTGGTTGAGAACTGCTGATATAAACCAGGTGCAACGTTGGGCAGGGAGAGTGTTAAAACCCACCTTGTGCAAAGGGAAGAAATCACAGCTGACAACCTTCAAATAAGCAACTCCCCTACTTATTTATTTTGGAGAGAAGGGCCAAGCTAATACAAGGCCTGTATGCAGGAATTTATGTGGGGTGGGTGCTTTTTTTATATAAATGTGGACTGCAAGGGTATGAATGTACATCCTTCCCCTCCCCCTCCATAGTCCCCCAAGTAAACAGAGAAATCAGCCCCAGTCTTCCCCTGGCTGATCCAGAGCATGGGGGAGGAATGCTCGG